CCCTTTCTTTAGATGTTACGGGACCCTCCCCCTCTGCGTCCCGCAAAGCATCTTGGCTCCCTGAGTACTAGTGGACAATTACAGAAACCACATTAAAAGAGCTGGTCACTGCAAGAATTAGTGACCATTTGGGCACTCACCTGACCCTAAAATTAGACCCCTTAGAAATGCCAAGTAATTTTTGTATCCGCAGCTCTGGCAGGAAGCACTCTGTATGTAAATCCTCCACCTTCCAACTTACCAGCTTGCTGCCAGTAAAGCTCATTTGTCTCTGTCACTGTCTCTCCTGTTCTTAGCTTCACTGGGTAACAGGGGACCAGATTCCTTATGTCTTCATAAGCAATTAAGCGTCCTGCCTGACACCACACTGGCAGCACAGCGCTGGGCAAGGGCAAGGAGCAGCCCTTGATACCTAGGCCCTGGAACACATCCCTGGAGCACTTCCCTGGAGCACTTCCTTCATGCATCACCCCCATGCCTCCGCAGGAAGTTTATTAAGTCAGGGCACTGTCAACCAGTGGGCTACTTACTTGACTTAAGACTCTGCTCTGTGCCACACAGCCCAATCTCTGCCAGCTGATGTGTAACTTGAGTCCTAGATATGGAGGAGGGTGGAGTGTGTATGAGAACTGCTGCAAGGCTGAAGACAGAAAGTTCTGCTTGTGGGCATAACAAATCTGAGTTCAAATCTCAGCTCTGCCAACTACTTGGAGAACTCATAAATGCTATTCAGTACTTTCAAAATTGTTATAAACATGGGTTTCTGCCTACCAATAAGTACTAATATTTGCTAATAGTCACTTACTCTAAAGCTGTCCTCACAGCACCCCCCCCACACCCCCAATTTAAGCCTTGGGGCCTTTACCTCCTGTGGCACAGGAAAGCAGTTCACTAACTCAGCAATCTAAATGTGAACCTAACTTACCTGCTACCAGGATCTCTGCTCCCTTAACAACTTGTGACCAGGGACTGCATCATCTTAGATAACATGACAGGGCAGAGCTGAGGTAAACCTAGTTTCTCAGAGGTACACTGGGAATATCTTAAGCCCAGGCAAATTGGGAAACATGGCTGGGTAATAAATAAATAAATAAAAGCCAAATGACCAAGAGTTAAGGAAGACCTTTAGGCCTGAGCTAGAGCAGTCTAAATATTTCAGTGATATTCTATCTTGTACCTGTTGTTACTGGACTGTTTTTCCAGGCTGGTTCCTGCCTAGGGAGGGCAGTTTGTGATCTACTTTGAGAATCGAATCAACCCTGACAACTTACAGAAGGGGAACTGGACCAAGTGAACACGACCTGGATTGGAGTATGGATTCTATAACCCCACAAAATGAGAATTACTTTTCACCCTAAATCTAATTTTTCTGATGGAGAAACTGGACAGCCAGTCTAGTTCACAGGGTTGGTAGGATCCACCAAGTAGAGGGCTCTACTGACTTTATAGATGGAAAGCACCAAAGTAGGGAAGGGTCACTGAGCGAGCCATGCTGGGGAGCCGAAGCTGCTGTCCTCACTGGTGGAGGCTGGGGAAGAATGGAGCATGGCTGCTCTAGCTTCCCAAAGATTCTCACAAGTGTCTAAGCAAAAGAAACTTGCATCAAAAGAAACCAAATTTCAAACTTTTAGATACACGCCAAAGCATGTTTGATTACTGGTTTTAAAAAAAAGAGTTCTCTGAAATGTCATAGAAAATGAACAGGGAATGAACTTCCTGGGAGAATCAGTGACAAACTTTTACCCCTGGCTAAAAATTAACAATGGTAATCATATTATTAAACTGGAAAGCAGGCTGTTGGTTAAAACTGCTGTTCTTTGGAGAAGTTAAGCAAAGGTCTAGGGCTGGGGACATAGCTCAGTGGCTGAGCACTTGCCCTGGCTCTGTTCCCAGCACTGGAGATGGAGGCGGGGTTTACTGTTCAGTTGCCTTCTTTGGGGCTGAGCAGGTGTGAAATAGTCTAATAGAACCACTGTGGTCCACTGTCTCGGGGTTCCTCAGGTTCAGGCACCGGGCTTTCCATGCAGCATCGGACTGCTAAATCCTCATGGCCTCCTGAGGTATCTTCCCACGTTCAAGGTGACAGCCTGGGCAGCTCTGTCCTTACCACAGTTTTGGATTTAAGAGGTAATGTGTCTGCAATGGACAATCACGCTAAATAAATGCCAACTACTTACTAATTTGTGTTCGTCTTTTAGCCAGTCACCTGCCCCCAGTGGTCCTTTCTTATGGTCATGGTCATTCTAGAGATTAAACCACAGATAAGAAAGTTATATTTTTGTGAAAAGATTTACACTAGTCTGAAGAGCATGGTGACATACCTCAATGGTTAAGAGCACTCACTGTTCTTCCAGAGGACCTAGGTTCAATTCTCAACACCCACTCATATCAGGTGGCTCATAACTGCCTGCAATTTGCATATAATCTCATGCAGCCACACATATATACACATAAAATAAATAATAATAATTTTTAAATAAGAGCATGTCCAGTTGTAATGGATTTGTGCTGCAAACCCCTCGCTTTCAAGGACGGTGCTGGATGCAGATGTGGGCCCTGCCGCTCTGCCCCACCCCCCATGCAGCTCTGTCTACTAGCACTCAGGTGACAAGACAGCCTCATCCATGTTCCAGTCCTTAAGATCAACTCTGAGCCTGGGCTGTTTAAGGAGTCACCCAGAAGAGGGTGAATCCATATCCAATTAAAAGAAAATCTATTGATTTCTACCTGAGATGGTGGCACCCTGCAAAAATGATAAAACACTACCCAACCATTAACAGAATATTTTGGACATATTCAGTCAAATGATTTCCCACTCAAAAAGAATCAATTTGGGGTTGGGAATGAGTTGACTCAGTGCTCAACAAGCACAAGGCCCTTGATTTGGTCCTCAGCCCTATCGGGGAAAAGTCAACTTACAGACTATATATACCAAAGTCTACGAAATGATGTTACAAATTAATAGTATCAACTAACAATAAGTTTGAACTTTGTACAGATGAAGTATCTGGGCACACACACATACACACTCAATAAGTGATATATAAACTTCACACATTGATAAGATTCCTAAGAATGAATTTTTACTTTCTAATGAATAGCTACAAAAAAAAAAAAAGGAACAAAACAGACTAGTATAGACTTCTTACCTTGAACTCCAAACCATATATTGGCCTTACCTGAAGTCAAAGGCACCTTGCCCCCATAGCTAATGCTACCATTTCTGCAGTGATAGATACTTTGTTTCATTCTCAGGCATCAGAAAGCAACAGTAACAAGGTGGGGGCTGGAGAGATGGCGCAGCCATCAAGAACACTTGCTACTCTTTCAGAGGACCTGGGTTTGGTTCCTATATCCACATCTGGCAGCTTGCAAAGGTGGGCAACTCCAATTCCAGGGGATCTAATGCTCTCTTCTGGCATCTGAGAGCACTTATACACATGCAGTACACACACACACACACACACACACACACACACACACACACACACACACACACACACAGAGCTTTATTAGTCATTATGGCCTGTCTTCACAGCTTTCTTTGCAGGAAATTAGGAGGGGCAAGGGGATGTTCCCTCTTAGCAAATAGCTTTTGTTGCATATTCTGGGCGTTTTCACCAAACTTTTACAGAAAATTAAATCTACTCTGTGCATTTTGCAGAACTTTGGCTGCACCCCACACCTAACCCTTGAATACACAGATGAAGCAATTCCTTATCAGAGCTGGGTGGGAACTGACAAACTCTTCCCAAACACCGTCATTTCTGCGAATGGGGTAAACTATAGTCCTGAAGGGGAGGAAGGGGTGTCTGAGGTCCCGGGACTTCCTATCCAAATAGCTCTCTCTCACCCAGCAAGCCTGAGTCCAACATTCTAAGAGTCACAAAATCCCCTTGTTTACCTGTGTGCCTGCCCCCTCCTCCCACCTCTTCCTGGAAAATGGACAGGGAGCAAAATCTAGGCAGTTGTTCTCAACCTTCCTACTGATGTGACCCTTTAATACAGTTCCTCATGTTACGGTGAACCCCCACCCCATAAAATTATTTTGTTGCTACTTCATAACTGTAATTTTGCTACTGTTACGAATCTTATGTAAATATCTGATATGCAGTTCCATGTGCGACCCACAGGTTGAGACCTACTCCTTAGAAGTATTCACAGTAGGTGCAGCAGAGGAGGGATCAGGAGTGTGTGAAAACTATAAGGAGTCCTGGGTAAGTGCCCAAACTCTGAAGTCCAGCGGAGCTAGGCTTTTCCATGAGATCGCTCAACAAATCTTCACTGAGAGCATACTGGTGGAAACAATGTATATACACACTCGGATTGCCTTGCTTCCTCCCGGGCCAGCTGTGACACTTTAGGCAAGTTACTCAACTTCTGAGCCTCAATTTTCTAATCTAGATTATGGAGAGAATATCAAGGACTTGGAAGCATTGGACGAACACAAAAGTCAGAGATCTAATCCAGCAGGCACAGACCTTAGTGTGGTCATTGTCATTCTGGGGCTGTTGGACCTGCGATGCTCTGTATCATGATGTGGGAGCTGAGGGTGCATGCAGATCCCACGGATCTACCTGGGGCACTTCGGTCCCCTGAAGAGACTATGAATTGGAGGGCGGCCACCAGGTGGTCTCCTCGCCGACCTCCGGGTCCCAGCTTCTTAGGAGCCACCTGGTCACCTGGCAATTGCGCGCACACCCATCCTCGTGGAGACCGTCCCCCGGCAGCCATCTTGGCCGCCTGCACCCAGCAAGTTTCGTCACGCGGTGGCTAGGGACGCGTGGCAGGATGCGTAATGTGCCCTCCCATTGAGGGGAAGCGAGACCAGCTCCACGCGGGGCCCCCCCTAGTCACAGGCGGGAGCTGAGGACCCACGAGGTCCCCGGGAGTAGGCACTCGCCGCAGGTATCCCCAGCGCGCGCAGCAGACCCCGCTGCATCCCCCGCAGAACCCGAGATCGAGCCAGCCCGCGCGCCCCGCAGCCCCCCGCCACTCACCGCCTCCCCGGCTGCTACCCGAACCGCTCGGTCCCGCTCGGCGCCGCCTCCCGCTGCCGGAAGCGCCACGGTCCCGCGCGCCGCCCCCAGGAGCGCGGCCCTGAGGCGCGCTCACGACGCGCGGCCCCGCCCAGAGGCTCCTGCCTCTGCCTCGGCGTCACTCGCTGCTTCTGCGGCTGAGCTCCGCGGTCTGTGCACGCCCCTCGTGCCCGCGCTTCTGCTTCAGGCCCCACTAGGAACGCCCAAGTTCATCCTCGCCGGGGTGGGCAGCCCAGGTCAATACCACTGTAGTTCAGTTTTGTTTTCCTTAGGAGACCACCTTTCATCATCCAGTAACCCGCTCCTTCATTCATTTGGGCTAGTGTTTCTTAAAATGCGGCGTTTGACACAACTATAAGGAAACTTAGATGATACAAGTGCCACCACCTCATTTATACCTTCAAAAGGCTGCTGGACTGAGACCCGACTATAGGGGACGTGCAGACCAGAGGCTTTTTCCGGAATGCTGAGCTTAGCCAGGAGGAAATGTTGGTGGCAGAACAGCTTGGACTAGGTGGAGTGGTGGACTGGATCCTGGACGCACTATGAAGGCCAGAACAATCTGGCAAATGACGAATTACATTCTTAGAAACCTCTCTCTCTCTCTCTCTCTCTCTCTCTCTCTCTCTCTCTCTCTCTCTCTCTCTCTCTCACCTAGCAAGGTGACTGTAAAATGTATATGAGAAAATAAAGAGCCTGAAAACAGCCAAAACACTTTGAAGAAGTAGATTGTCCTACTGTTACAAAATTTGGCGCAGAGCAATGGTAAAGAAGGGAGAAAGTGTTCGTACCAGGATCAACAAGGAGCTCCGTTCAGCCAAGCAGACATGCCAGACCCAGTGGAAAGAAGGTCACCGTGGGGAGATGGGAAAGGGATCACACTCCTATCCGGAGCTTCTACGGTGCAAGGCTGGTTCAAGAAGCCCCTAATAACACTGTAAAGAAAAACAGTGTTCCTTCTGAGTGTGGAGAGGAATGATGTGACCAAGTCCACCGATCAAATTAGCTGCCTGTGGGTATGAAAGAGCTGCTGCTTTGAAGCCTACTGAGTGCCACGTGACCCACTGCTTCAAGCTCTTGTCACCTTGACTTCCCCACTATGATGACCGTGCTTTTGAACTGTGTCCTAAAATAAATCCTTTCTCCCCTGGGTTGCATTTGTCAGAATGTTAATCACAGCAACCGAAAAAGAAACCAAGACAGCTCCCACATGAAAACCTGGTCTAAGTCAAGAAGACAGTTTGCCTGTTACTGCATTGGCCCATTGTACTATACTCATTAAACATGTCCCTTCCTACTTAGGACTGGCTTATGTGAATTCTGCCCACTAAGCCCCCACCATAAGATGTGGTTCCTGAATATACTGTATCACAAGGCAGGAGGGAAAGTGCTGTGGGATGTTCTGTATGGCAAATGTGTTGCTGATTAGTCAATAAATAAAACACTGATTGGCCATTGGCTAGGCAGGAAGTGTAGGCGGGACAAGGAGGAGAATAAAGCTGGGAAGTGGAAGGCTGAGTCAGAGAGACACTGCCAGCCACCACGATGACAAACAGCATGTGAAGATGCCGGTAAGCCACGAGCCATGTGGCAAGGTACAGACTTATAGAAATGGATTAATTTTTTTTTTTTTTTTTTTTTGGTTTTTCAAGACAGGGTTTCTCTGTGTAGCTTTGCGCCTTTCCTGGAACTCACTTGGCAGTCCAGGCTGGCCTCGAACTCACAGAGATCCACCTGCCTCTGCCTCCCGAGTGCTGGGATTAAAGGCGTGAGCCACCACCGCCCGGCAGAAATGGATTAATTTAAGCTGAAAGAACAGTTAGCAAGAAGCCTGCCACGGCCATACAGTTTGTAACCAATATAAGTCTCTGTGTTTACTTGGTTGGGTCTGAGTGGTTGTGGGACTGGCGGGTGACAGAGATTTGTCCTGACTGTGGGCCAGGCAGAAAAACTCTAGCTACAGGAAAGGTTAGGTATTTACTCAACATACTGTGATCAATGAAATTCCTGCCTTGGACAACATAAAACTAACCCAATTGCAGGTAAATTCATAAACCAAACATGGAAAATAAAACTCTGAGCAATATTTTACAGACATTTTGAATGGTGTTCATTATTCTCAGAGGTCCTGTCTATCCTTAATCTGATTGTAAGATGGCCTAAAAAAGGATTCAGAAGGAAAACGAGGACCCAATGTCCTGACCAGTTTTATATTGACACATGCTACAGGTGTCAAAGAGGAGGGAGCCTCAAATGAGACAATACCCTATAAGATCAGGCTGTAGACAAGCCTGTGGGACATGTTCTTAATTAGTGATTGATGTGGGAGGGCCCCACCCATTGTGGGTGGTATTACCCCTGCCCTGGTGGTCCTGGTTTCTCTAAGAAAGCAAGATGAGCAGGCCATGAGGAGTAAGCCAATAAGCTGCACTCCTCCTCTGCATCAGCTCCTGCCTCCAGATTCCTGCCTTGTTTGAGTTCCTGTCCTGACTTCCTTTGATGATGAATAGTAATATGGAAGTGTAAGCCAAATAAAAACTTTCCTCCCCAAGTTACTTTGGTCAACGTGTTTCATCATAGCAATAATAACCCTAACTAAGACATCCAACAAAGCACAAAAGAACCTTACAAAGAGCTAGCGGGATAAAAGAGAGATTGTAAGTAAGTATTGAAGATAAATGGTATTAATCCAGTGTAACACTTGCAACAGTAGAATTTCTAGCTTGACATCTTTGCAACAGTATCTGTAACTAAGTGCTATGTAAGCCAGATAGGGGCCGCCAGGTTGGCTGCAGAGCAGAAGGCATAGTAGATACAGCTCCATCAGTTTTCTGTTGCTACAGTAACCACATATCCAAACTCCCAAACCCCAGGCTGTACAACAGTAAGGGAGTGTTCTGTTCCTAAGTCTGTGGTTGGCTGTGCGTTTCTGCTTCTTCGAGCTGCTTTCTGCTAGTTTACTCATAGACCCCTAGATGACCAGTGGCTTTGCTCATCTCTGCATCTGAGGCCTTAGCTAGAGCAACTGACTGCCTTTGCTCTGTTTGAGTTTCTTTTCTTGCATGTGCAGTCCTGGGCACATTTGCATAGCAAAGGCCCAGATAGAAGGGAAGACAGTAGAGGCCAAGGCTTAGGCCTGCACACTGGCATTTCTGCTGCAGTCTGTGGGTTCAAGTAAGCAACAAAATGATCACCTACCTGTTCAGGAGCAAAAGATCACATCCCTGCCAAGCAACAGTGTGCAGGTGAAGAACTGGGGGTCCCCCAAATCCTGTCATATATGTCTTTGCCTTTTCAGGACCCTGATTCTTCTGGGAATAGACCCTCTCCCTTCTTCTATTTGATCTGGTCAGATGATCACTTCTGGGGCTTTCTCCTTTCAGATCTGCCTCAGTTGCAGGTACATGACTCACATTGGGTCAAACAGACTCCTGGCCTGAATTTGTATTAAACACTGGGACAGAGACATCAATCTTCTCTAGTCCCTCTGCTACACATGAGCATAGACTGAGGGTGCTAAACTAAGAGGATTGAATCAAGGGAGACAAGTTACCCCCTTTTTCCAGTTAGAAGTGAGCAAGCTGAAAGATGATCGAGCTCGGAGGGTGTGTCAAACCTTGGGCCTAGTCAATCCTGAAGCTAGGTCTATCCCTGGGCTTCTGGTTACAGGGACAAGGACAGATTTCTTGTTACAGGGCTTCTAGTTACAGGGACAAGAAATCTGTCCCTCTCCCACCCCATGTATGTCTTCTGAGTTGTATTTCCAGCCCTGGTTGGCTGGGGATTCTTGGCAAAATCTGAGGTGAATAGAACTGAGTTTGAAAAAGTAGAAAGCATAGGTGGGCAAAGGAGGAAGAAAGGAGAAGAGGCATTAAAAGAGAAAGTGGGTGTGCCTGTGTGTTTTCAGCATTGTTTTAAATAGGTGGGTTTTGTTGTTTTTTTGTTTTGTTTTCTCCAGAAACAGCTTTTGAGGGACTAAGCTGCCTATGCTTGGTGCTGAAACAGAATGCTTGGGGGAGTTTTGCTCTCCAGCACTGCTGAGCACTGTGAAAACTTTGCATTTGAATGGACTTTCAGCCATTCAGGGCACAGCTTGAACAAACAGTGATGAAGTCAGCAAAAGTGGGAGCACATTCCTGAGCATTATAAAGTTTAGTGATCTGAGCAAAGACGCTGCAGAATGGAATGCAGTGTCAAGGTTTCAGGGTGTGGTCACTCACCAAGAATCAGCTCCCTGCCTTTCATGAATGAAACCTTTCACGAACACTTTCAATTCTGATTATATAGCCCAAGATATTTTTGATAATAAAAGAAATATATAATCATATAACTTTGATGTTCTAGTTAGGGTTACTATTGCTGTGATGAAACACCATGACCAAAAACAACTTGGGGAGGAAAGGGTTAATTTGGCTTATACTTCTGTATCACTGTTCATCATTGAAGAAGGCAAGCATGACAGGAACTCAAACAGGGCAGGGACCTGGGAGCAGAAGCTGATACAGAGGCCATGGAGGAGTGCTGCTTGCCGGCTTGCTCCTCATGACTTGCTCAACCTACTTTCTAGTAGAACACAGAACCACTAGCCCAGGAATGACCCCACCCACAGTGGCTGGGGCCCTCCCACAATAGGTGGGACCCTCCCATATCAATCACTCATTAAAACGCCCTACAAGCTTGCCTAAAGCCCAGTTTTATGGAGGCATTTTCTCAGTTGAGGCTTCCTTCTCCCTGATGACTGTTGTCTCTCCGATGCGTGTGTCAAGCTGACAAAACCAGCCAGCACACTTGCACTTGATAAGTATGGGAAAAGTACATGCGTGCTTTCAGTAGGACCTCCCGGAATCTCTGTTAGAATTTTAGTATCTTTCTATAAACTGAAGTTCCAGAAAAAAGTTTAGTATCTTTCTGTAAACTGAAGCCACATCTGTGTCAAAGATTCCACATGAAACCAGCTGGCTGGCTAGAAGTTTGTAATTGCGCAGAGTTGGCATGTTGCAGGAACAGACCCCAATTAACTTTAGTCCCATCAACAAATAGCCACTCCTTAGCCATAGCAAGTAAAACATTTCAGAATGCAAAGATTAAAAATG